ATCCAAGCTTCGAATGTAAGGTTGTGATATGATTTCTTGTTTGCCGACCTTCAGTATTATGGTCTCTATGCTAAGCAATGCCTATCGATCAAGGGATTTTTACCTTCCACCCAGCACAGTAAGCTTGTTTGATAGGTCTTCCGAAGTTCTGCTCAAACAATTAATTTACAAAATATTGCATTGGTCTCTGACAGTGTAGATATCCATCTCTATCCAATTACAGTTACCTATGACGAGGCTACTGCTGACAAAAGAGAGGTTTTTGATCGAGCTTGCCTCGCATTCAGTGTAGGTTGGTGTATCACCACAATTGAGCAGAAAAACGTCTAGTGTACTAAAAGTATCCAGTAGTGTTTGTCCTCGTTTTTTTGCACCAAGCTACTGCTCAGAAGGTAAAGTCCCAGGCTATCACCACCGAATGATGTTGCTACGCATGCTCGGTCAGTCGATCCAGAAAGTCAGTGAGATACGTAATGGAGGCTAGATGGTGCGTAAAGCTGTAGATGCGGATTGTTGCGGCTACTAAGCCAACAGTGCGTTTAAATTTAGTTGCAGTATCTTCATGCTTTGCACCTTATAAACTTATAAAGTGCCTCTTTATATACCGGGCGTCTGTAGGTTCCAGCATGGTGAGCAGCATCCTCTGCGCTTTGATGTTCAGCACATAGGGCACATTTTACTGCGTTTAGACAGCAAGCGATTTTATGCCCTTATTGTTGACACTAAATGCAAAGGTTTTAACGGTTCACTTTACCCATGCTCTGGAATCCGATATTTTATTTTAGTCGACGAACAATCTCGGAGACTTTGCCTTCTCTGCTAATCAAATTTCTTTTTTTGATCAGACCTTATACCAATCAGTTATTTTGTTTTATTAGGCGTTCTGCCATAGGCACTATCCTAGGGAGAGACTTCGTTTCAAATTCTTTTTCTTCATCATCTGACAGTATGTTGTGTTTGCAAAATTAATGTCCTTCTTATTGCCATTGCTCAAGTTTTTTTTATCTCTTCATCGACAGATTCATCCTTGGTTTCGGCTCCAGTGTTCCTAGCTTCTTCGATCACGATGACGGTTCGGCTGTTTTCCTTCAACGAGGAGTGCCGTAGGTTCCCCAACCATCCCCAAATGTCGAGGTCTTTATATACCGGGTGTCTGTAGGTTCCAGTATGATGAGCAGCATCCTATGCGCATTGATGTTCAGCACATAGTTCTTCTTGTTGATACCTATTGCAGAGGTTTTAACGGTTCACTTTACCTATGTGCTGGAACCCGTGATGCCCAAAAAGCCAAAAGAGCAGCACTAGATTACATGTTCTTATATAACAGTTCACCCAGCCAATCTAATTTTTTCCGACTTCATCGAGCAATTTCTGCGCCGTGGCCGCAATGAGATCCAGGAAACGTGTCATGGCATTTGCAATACCTACGACTCGTCTTTGTCTTTATCTCCATGTGAATGTTGATGTTGACTTAATCTTCTTGTGGAGAACTTTTAGGAGTGTTTCAAGCCGTTTCAATGCTTCCTTTCTCTAACTCGCCGTGCTCTTCTTTATACTCCTAGTAGCACTTCTTGACAGCAAAGCCATGGGGTCCACTTTGCTCCAAACGGTCTCATGATGACGACGACTTCGGCCCGCTTGCAAACCTTTGTCCGCAAGTACGTAGGCATCCATCCTTCTTCTGTGCAGTAAACGGTTTTGATGTATACATATCCATAATCATCGACGTAAACAACGTTATGTATGGTAAGATATAAGTATCAACCTCACCCAAACGTAGAAAATTTGTGTACACTGCAGCTATTTTATTTTACTCCTACCCTATGTTCCTAACGCAGGCATTGCGAAACAGGAACGGAGAGGGCTTTCTCCTATCAACATTTGGAGACGCGCCCAGTATTAGTTTATCCTCATCCCCGAGTGTACGTTTTCTTTTGTATAGCGAAGGAAAGGCATTTACGCATAGTTTGTCTGGGTATGTCGTACTTAATACCGCTTGGGTATAATATCGACTAAAACCTGCGCTTTGCCCTTGCCTCTGATATATACGGAAACCGCCGTTAGGCATTACTTTGTGTGGAGAAGGTCTAGAATGTTATCGTTCTTGCACTAAAATTATACTTATCTTTTGAATGAGCGAAGTCCCATACGCTCTTTCTCTTTCGCATTCGCCCCGAGTCTATGTGTATGTGTGTGCGGATACAACTTTTGTAGACTGGATTTCAAAAACAGAAACATCCGATTTGAATGATTCAAAAAACTTTCGATTCCTATTAATAGGAAGACGTGCTGATTAGTTTTTGTTCTAGCCGTTTAGAAGATACGGGGCAAAAAATTATATTTCAGATTTTGAGGAAACGGGGCGTCCGATTTGAATGATTCAAAAAAAATTTTACTTGTATTCACAAAATAAACAACTGGTGACATTTTTGGAAAAACAAATCCAGCATTTCCAGAGATCCAATAAAAAAGTAAAAAATAATGCCATTTGACGGTCAAAAATGAAATGAAATGAGAAATTAGACATATGAATATCATATTATCATATATTTTATAGAGATTATAACAATAAATATAAATTTTGTGTATATTCCGTACCAATGTTTACACGTTAAACTACAATGCGGCGCTTACGCACTTTGATAGTTTGACTCTAAAATATCTATGCAGTGCAATTGCTTAAAAAAAGTAAATGTTAAAAAGAAATCAATCTTTTTCAAAAATTTCAAAATTCTCCAAAATATAATTTTTTCAAATTTGGAAAAAAGATGAAATTTTTTTTTAATTTTAGTTTTTGGTACAGGAAGTTCCAGCAATTTGCCTTAAGACACGATGCTATGCATCACCAGTTATAATATAAGTTGAGTAACCAAACTTTAGAGAAAAATACAGATATGATGATGAAATAAGTTTGAAAATTTTGGGAATATAATATCTTACATGAATTTTAATCTTACAAGTCCTTATCAGTAATACGAATTTGTTAAAATTATTGAAGCTTACTAATATTGTAATCTATTACTAAAGAAGTACATTAAAAAACAATCTTTGTACGTGATTGCTACTTTGCACTTCAAATGATCTCTTTATACAATGTTAATCTACATCATAATCCAGCTTCTGCAAATGTAATATAAGTTTAAAACACAATTTATCATTGCAATTTTATTTTATATATTTGTCACATTAATGTGACACATTAATTTACTTTCACTACTTTCTGTATTTACTTCATCACAGGTAAAAAAAGTGTTCAATGTACCGCGGAAACCTGCACTTGTACCACAAGTAACGCGTCATAATTTGCTGATTGTGAGTGAAGTATGCATATGTCATATTGGGTGTAGTAATTTATTGAAAATAATAAAACCACGATTCATAACAATATGATTGTCCTGATCTACTACGGAAGAATACGTGTCATGACACTTGTTAATGGATTATTAAAATGTGATTAAAACTGTTACCTGTTTGTCTTTGTGTATTTTTATAATACAAATTTTATATATTAGTAAATAGAGAAAGCACTTTGGTTAGCTTGATATCAAATAGTAATTATATCAGATTTTCACTTTAGAATGATGGATTTGAAAATATAACAAGTGAAAATAGCCTCTCTGGGGCATCACGGCTGGTTCTACCTTAAATGCGGGAAACGAAAAATGCGGATGCACTCCTAACACAAAAATCGGATATGAATTTAATAATATAGTTTTTTCATTTAATATCATTCAAAAAATATAAGAAAAAAATGACATGCAGACGCTGATGATCCCAGGAGTGGCCCTGAATAGAACATACATTTTATCAGTAATAGATCAAAAATCAATCTAATAAAAATGTTCAATCAATAATTTTCATTTTTATAAACATTAAATTAAGCAGCTTTCCACACCACGACAGCGGAAATACTAAAAAATTCAAAAAAGTAGAAAATTTTAACCTGAGAATATATGTTTCAACAAATATTATTATTCTACATAAAGATAATATTTGTATTTTATTATATATTTTTATTTTATTAATTATAAATGTTGGTGATTATGACATTCTTTGAAGAAACGTATGAGTTTTGAAGAAGAGTGTGAAATTCTTTTATCATTTTTAGTATACTTTGAAATACAGTATTTATGAAATTTTAAAATGTACTGCAAATTTTGCAGGATTAGAGATGATATTTTTAAAAATTACTCTGTTTTTTGTTTTTCTTGAGCGCATTACTTTTATCATTTTACTACCTATTGTACATTTTTATGATGATGTCAGATACTAATCATTTTAAAAGAGCTATGCATAGATACCTATGAATGAGCTATGTATCTACATATGATATACTTTACTGTATATAAACTTGAAATTCCATTTTAATGAACAATAGTCAACCTGCCACAGTAATTTAGTTATTATATTTTGAAGACCGTCTATGATTAATTATATGAAGTGAGTGAACATATTTTAAGATTACATTAGACATTAGCATCAGTAGCAACTATTTGATACAATTAGTTTAATATTATGTAAATTTATATCAATAAGTATTAATAGACAACAATTAAAACCATGTATATGAGGTATACTTAATGCAACAATTAACTTTAATTAATTAACTTTAAAAGCCAAACAAAATTTACTTTTGGAAATTTACAAAACTAAGAACTAAGTTCATTGCATTAAATTATGTGCTGAAACTCAAGTTACTGATCTTTTCGCTACGAACGTCGTCCATGGACGACATGTTGTGTTTGCCTTTGCTTCAAGATTTATCGATATGAGTGATTAAACTATTAAAAATTCTAGTATTTTACTGTAATTTTTAGTACTTCAGAGGTCAAAATTTTTAAGTTTTTTTAAAACATTTTTATTGATAATGATAGAAATATCTTAAAGCAGCGACACTCCTGGGGAAAACGCTCTGGTAGCGTTTTTGTTTTTCAGTACTAGCAAGTTCAATATTGTGTAGTAAATACATTAGAGAACATATATCAGCAGCATCTTCATTTTTACTCAAAGTTTTTTATAAGTGCAAAAAATGAATACGAAGCTTTCACAATCTGCAAAAAATAATATATAATTTTAATCAGATATCTGTATGATTGAGATGTATGAATTGAAGATTCATACCGCTACATATGTTTGTAATGTAAGATCTATAAATGACCCAGCAGTGATTCGAATAGGCTTTTGTGATCTCATCATCATCATTCGCAAACTTGCTCGGAATTTTGTTGAAGTAATATACCATTTGCACTGGTAAGCAGCTTCGGACACTTGAGTACTCTGTATGAAAGTATGTAATTGCTTATTAATAAAGTCTACGTTAGTCAAATCGGGTATAATAACAATAAAACTGTGGTACATGGCATTATGACAAAAGGCTACTTCCCGTAGGGCAAGTTATAGTAATCGCAAAGAAATCGAAAATGATTATATATCTTTATGTTACAAAGGTTTCTGAATATTTTGGCATACCTTAAAAAATGGATGTATGTGTATGTGTATGTATGTGTATGTGTATGTATGTGTGTGTGTGCGTGTGTGTGTGCGGATACAAATTTTCGTCGACAATTTCGGAAACACCGATCAACCGATTTGAATAATTCAAAAAACATTCGATTCGTATTGATAACGAGACGTGCTGATTAGTTTTTGGCAAAGGCAGATCTTGCTGTTAAAAAGCATTTCACTTGTATGGACAAGATGAAGAATTGATCAAATTTTCATGAAGGCAGGTCTAGCGCTTTCGGAGATCTAATGAAAAAAGTAAAAAATTTGGCGGTCAAGAATGATTATTTGGCATATGCACATCAAATTATCAGATATTTTATAGAGATTTTAACAATAAGTATAAATTTTGTTTACATTCATATGGGTTCCGTACCAATGCTTATCTGTTGGACGGCGACGCGGCACTTATGCGCTTTGACATTTCCTCTCAATGCAGTTAAAGCAGTACGATTGCTTTAAAAAAAAATTCAGAATTTCCAAAATATGTCAAAATAAAGAAAACATTTTTTTTCAAAAAAAAAATAATTTTTTGTCAAATTTATATTTAGTTACTGAAAAATCTAATTTTTTCGAAGTAAATTTTTTTCAAAAATGTTAATCGTTTTTTAAAAAATCATAATTTTTGGTACGGGAAGTTCCAGAAATTTGCCTTAAGGCACAATGCCATGCGCCCCACTAGTTACTTTTTTTATTGGATCTCCAAGACCGCTGGACCTGACTTCCCAAAAATTTAATCAATTCTTTATCCCGCTCACGCGTGCTGTGTTATTAATATAAATAAAAATATAAACAAAAATACAATTCTGTTACATCTAGTTATCAAAATAGAAAATTTCGCTCGTATATTTAATGATTGATTGTTGAGCTTTATGAAATGCATCTTTGAGCAAAATATTCCTTTCAGCATCCCAATATGTAATATAAGATTATAAGCATATTAGCAGTAAAAATTCAACAATATATTAACTAAACCCACATATTGAACAACTAACTATCAAAATACGTACAGAAAATGTTCCAGTTATTGTCTAAATATTTTTAAAATTTTATTTTTGAGCAGCAATAGTCCTATAAGCTGTTGTGCTGATTTGACTTAATACTAATCTGTTTGACAGAAGGCTAAACTAAACACAACTTTTCCCAATCATTACAAATTTAATGTTTTTGGGATCATCCAAATCGGATACTCCGCTTTCTATTTTCTGAATTCTTTGCTCCAAATCTCCGTAACACCTGGACCTGTCTGTGCCAAAAACTAATCAGCACATCTCCCTATCAATTTTAAATGAACGAAAAAATGCGGCCACAAAATACACACACATGTATTTTTTCTGATGTATGCCAAAATGTTCAGAAACCTTCAAAACGTAAAGATATGCAAAATTTTCATTTTCGATTTTCGGCCCATTACTATAACTACCCCACGGGAAGTTAATAAAAAATCAGTGGTAGCCAATCCTTACCACTCGGTTTATAAGAGAGTAACATTTTAGGAAATGATATATGTGTTTTTAATCACGTATTATAGAAGAATAAAACATATCTAAAATTAAAAAGAAAAAAAAAATTCTTTGGTCAAACAACCCACCACCTGTGCGGAGATATACCAAATATATAGATGTATTTTGAATACATAGATGAAAGACAGACAGACAGACGGACATACATTGATTTTTATATAATTTTATATAAGATTGATTCAGATGGTTCATAAAAATATAATCACTCATTCCAAAAATATTGATAGAACTTTAATATGTTCATGGTAAGAAGTGATAAACTCGATTTAATTTCGTCTTATTCGTTTCAGAATAGTTTGAAACGTCGGAAAAATATAAAATCAATTTTTGGTGAAAACATAAACTTTTCCTCGGTAAGTTAATAATAACCAATGACATATTGAACTAGTGGGATGGGGTGGCATCGTGCCTTAAGGCAAATTGCCGGAACTTTCCGTACCGTAACAAAATGTTCGAGGAATACTGAATGTTTTCAAATAGTCTAATATTTATAAGAATTATATAAACTGAATTGCAAAGTTGAAATTATTTGTAAAGTATATTAGAACTATAGTCAGAAATAAAAATAAAATCTGAATTATTTTCGATATACAAAAAATTAAAAAATTAAAAAAAAATAAAATAAAAACATGTTGAAACAAAAAATGTTTTTTTCCAAAATCAATTATTTTGTTAAGACAAGCAGAAAGTTCTTTGAATCAATTAAATCGGACGCTTAGTTCTCTCAAAAACTGCCATTTTTTGTACATTTAGATCTGTATCTACAAAATGGCTGGGCCTGCCTTTGAGAAAAACTAATAACCACTTCTCCCAATTAGTACTAATTGAATGTTTTTTAGATCATTCAAATCGGATGCTCCGTTCTCTCAAAAACTCGATTTCTATGTTCTGCACTCTTTGCTCTTTATCTCCGTAACTGCTGGACGAGCCTTTGCCAAAAACTAATCAGCACATCTCTTTATCAATAGGAATCGAATGTTTTTTGAACCATTCAAATCGGTTGATCCGTACGCCCGAAAACGTGGACAAAACATTGTATCCATATATACATACACACACACGCACACACACACATCCATTTTTTCTGAAGTATGCCAAAATGTTCAGAAACCTTCAAAACGCCGAGAAATGTAAAAATTCTCAATTCCGCTTTTCAATAACGCACAATAACTTACCCTGCGGAAAGTTAATAATGCTGTAAAAGTAAATGGCAAGTTGCAATTTGTGAAATTTTAGTATTTAATGAAACAACTACTATAAAAAACAAAATTTGAAATCCAACTGCAAATGTTCGATTTAAAATTTAAAACTCTATTGAGGCTTTTATTATCCAGCATGTAATAATATTAGCTCCTCAATATTTAGCAATGACTTAGATTTGAAAATTTGAAAAAGCATTTCATTAATTTTTTTTTCACAAGATAATTAATGAGCAAGATTACTATACATTACCAGCGCTAGAAGTTGGTTGCCGTTCCAACAGTAAAGAAATAATTGATATAACATAGAGAAAAAATATCCCAATGATGTTATGACCGCCATTAGCGAAGCCCCATGTGACGACAGCTGAAATAAAAATTAATATTGGGGCTTATTTGAAAAAAAGTGTTTAAAATATTCAAGTTATTATTTGTACCTTAGCTAACTGGTATAAAGATGCACATAGAATTAAACTAGTCACAGAGAAATGCAAAAATACTGCTGGGCTCAAGCAATTCTGTAAACACTTAGTTCCAACATATATTTCTTCGTGCTTATCAATGCATTTACATAGTTCTTCATACAATTCCTCCTCCTGAATCAAAGCTTTTTAAATATATATGCTTTGGTATATACAACATGATCAGAATATAATATTTGTATTAATTACTTCTTGTACACGATCCGTTAAATTCTGGATTTTATTCATTAATAATTCTAGCTGGCAGCAAAATAAACCCATTAAGTTTGCCATTAGCACGTCATGCATAATATCTCCACAAGCTGACAAAAAAAATCCAAAAATTTGATGAATGTAGCTGATTTCATAAGCTGGAGAAGCAATTACATTATAAGGATACCTAAAAATAAGATTTTGATGACAATAATTAAAACAGTATATCGTGAATAAAGCTATTTACCATCCAATAAATGGCAGTATTCTGTCATCGCCTTTTATTTTATGTTCCATTACAGGCCTGGTTGATAAACCACTTATTGTAACCACTGCCAAGCTCATAAAGGTCGTCAAATTAACTAAAGCAGACTTTTCGTACCTTCAAATATAATTAAATGTGCAATGCAAGGTGAATACAATACAGGATTATCATATTTGAGTAAAAAAATAAGTTTGCTCTACTAACCTTTGAATAATTTCTAATGATTTTGGATCGCTCACTTCTAATTTGCTCACGCGTGCGCTACTGATCATCCTATCATAATATTTGCTTTTGCGTAAGCAATTGAAAATCTTGAATGAATGCACAACATTTGTAATCAAGAAAAATAATATGTCCATTACTTCATCCATATTTCTGTAGTGAATTATCATGTGTACGCCTTGTATTATTACCAAAGTTCCTAAAGTATTGACAAGTAAATATATATTTTACACCTAAATTTTTTAACTTTTAAATTTTTAATATATACTGTTTAAACACAATTGTTATATCAATGTTTACCATGTAAACAATATGACTTTTGCCTTTTTTATTTTATCTTATATATAAAATTCTTCGGTAACAATGTAAGTTTCATTAATCTTCCTAAACTATAATTCGGATTTTCATGAATCTTCCTGAAATTTGTTCGGGAAATTTTCTAGAACGTTTTGATTCATAGAAATATAGTTAGATTGTAGAAATAAATAGAAAAAATTACAAAAAACCGCTTATCATTGTTTGCCCTTGAAAATATTTGAAGCTTAATTTGACATTAAAACAATTGAAGACTGTCATTTGCCAAACATTTCTATTCACTTATAGGCTAAGGCAATATTAAAATATAATAAATTCATGATTATGAATAAGGAAAATGTAATGTCTACATTATTAATGCCGAAAAGCAGCTGAGATGTGCCAAAAATTAAATTAATATAAGATGCAAATAATATAACATGAGTCTGACAGTCTGCGCATGCGACTGACGCGCACGGCGAATCGTGTTCTCAACGTGCGCGTGGTATGCTTTTGCTTGCAATAATTTTGTTTACGCACTTTGCGAACAATTTCGCCGTACGAATTCGTGCAAATATTCAATTTGCAGTCGTTTTGCCTTACTATACTAAGTCACAATACAAAAAAAATTATTTACAAGTTTCATTGTGTCAAAAATTCATATGTTTGTCATTGGATACGGAATATTTACACAATGGAGCGCTTTCGGTCTGAACTTTTTTTACTGTTTTCCATTTCGTTTGGAATTTTGGAACTAGGTTCATCTTACTCTTCAGAAGTGAAAACAATTTATTAAAGTAATTTTTTTTTTTTCAAAATAACGTTGGGTATCGATAAAAGAACTAATTATAAGAGAAAAATGTTTAATAATGTTTTTCAGAAAAGTAAATACTTTTCAAGTTACTGGATACTGAAAATTTGTTTCTTTTTTGCGTTTTTCATCATTTTTTGCTAATATCTTCAAAAATATACATTTTAACGAAAATCATGTAATGTACAAAATTATATCAATTAAAATCTTAATAAATCGCTATTTTATAGTGTTTTAGGAACATTATTAGGCTAGATATGAAAATAGGTTTTTATAGTGCTCAAAATAAGCTTTAAAATGAGTACTTCTGCGTGTAAAATGAGTAAACTATCATGCAAATAAAAGACGCATATAATGTTTTTTCATTTAAATCAAATAGTTTTTCAGTGCCATTTCCACCAAATTTAAAAATAATCGTATTTCATTTAGAATTAACTTGGTTAAAGAGATCTTGATGGATATATGGATATAGAAAATACCACAACTTTAGTACAAACGATTTTCAAAAAACATGATTTTATGAAAAAAAAATTAAAAAAAACATCCAAATTCTCATTATAATAATTCTGAAAGAATACGTATAAAAGTATATATATATATATATATATATATGAAAATTCGAGGTATTTTTCTGACTTATTATTGTTGTTTATTATTTTTCCATTACACAAATATTGATAGAGGTTTTAATTAAGGATGCGCGGCTGTCCAACCAGAGGTCTTTCGAGCCTTTTAACCCTTCGCCGTTTCACAATAAGAGAAGTTACAGTAAAATTTATGATATAGAAAGTTGTAGCTCTTTAATCACCTTTAAAATAGTGTATTACAAGTTCTGATAAAATCATAATTAAAAGAGTAATAATCCATTTATTGCGGTGGATGGTGACGGAGTGCAAATTGTTTTCACTTTTGAACTTAAGATAAAGATTAGCCTATTTCCAAAATATCAAGTAAATTGGAGCACAGTAGAAAAATTCACAGAGCAATAATGTTGTTGATCGTAAGTTGAATAGAGCACATGTGAACAGGATTTGACAAATTAATTCACTTCAAATATAAACAATAATGAATATTGATTTATGGGAGAAAAAAATGTAATTTAGATATTAAAATTACTAAAAGCCAGTTCAAATATGGTACGAAATTATAAAAATTATAGGCAGCATTATTGAAGCAATTATTTTGGGTAGAAAAATAAAAGGTGATATTGCACCTTTGTCGCAAATGCTATATATTAATTCTTTCTGAATTTGTTGTACTTTTTAAAAGATTTCAATTTTCAACACGTGTATCTTATGCTATGACCATAAATCACAAAGGCAGACGATCATTTTTAGTGTGATAAATTTGGAAAATCAATGTTTTAGTCGTGAATAAACAAAAAATCATTCATTTATACATCCACATCTACAGGTATGACTAAAAATACTATATAACCCTTAAATGCAATAAAATAAATTGAGCTATTGGAAATAAATTTGTTCTATAAGTCGCAGTGTATAATTTTTAATATACAATTTTATTGAACATTTTTTAATATTTGTTAAATGAATAATTAAAGTGTGGGAATTGAGAACAATCATTTTATTTGAAACAGTTCTACATTCAACATCACTCATATATTGGTGTAAATAGTAATTCAAAAAACAGTAATTATTATTTTTAACTAAGCAGTAAATATTAGTATAAAATATTGAAAAATTGTAGGAATGGGTACAGAACAACGTCTGTCGGGTCAGCTAGTATTATATATAAAAATGGATCGCAAAATGTGTTGGTAAGCGCATAACTCAACAACGCCTGGACCAATTTGGCCAATTATTTTTTTAAAATGTTCGTTGAAGTCCAAGGATGGTTCTTACGGCGAGAAAAAATCGAATTATTGCCGGGAAAACCTCAAAAACAACCCTTTTCTTTTTCTCATACAAACATTTTCTAACTAAAACGTAGAATCACTTAACGTTTCATATATCATTTTATCGTAATTTTAATCTGCATCTTTCGTCCGAACAAAGTTTTTTCGTATCTTTTACGGTTTGGATTGTAGAGAGCAATTTTTATCAATATTGTTATTGAATAGTTCACAGTTCACACTATTCTATATTTCTCTAAAGAAAACAAAATATTATATATCGTTAGAATTCGTAATTTTATTCTGCATCTTATATCCAAATAGAATGCTTTCGTTTCTTCTACGGTTTAGTCTGGAGTATGGAATTTGTGTGAATTGTTCAAATGCAAAGTACGGTTAGGTTTGAGCAATAAGTTCGATATTAATCTAAAAAAAACATGTAAATTGTTAGATGAAACTCCAAGTCACAAGGGCATACAATGAACCTATTTTATTTATTTATTTAATTGATATATTAAAAATAAATTCGTTCTAAAAAAATGTCGTGTAAAAATAATTATATACAATGTTAATGATCATATTTCGATATTTGTCAGTTTGATATATTAGTTTGATATTTGGTTTTTACTGTATAATTGAAATTTAAGTGTAGAAATTGTACATACATTTCGGTATAGATTGTAATGTAAAAACATGGATGATTATTTTTAACTAAACGGTAAATATCAGTATAGGTTTTTAAAAAAATGGAGTTTTTAGGCATGGGTACAGGACAACGTCTGACGGGTCAGGTCTTATATATAAAAATGAATCGCAAAATGTGTTGGTAAGCGCATAACTCAACAACGCCTGGACTAATTTGGCCAATTCTTTTTTTAAAATGTTTGTTGATGTCCAAGGATAGTTTTAGCAAAAAAATCGAATAATTGCCGGGAAAACCCTAAAAAAGCCCTTTTCTTTTTCACATACAAACGTTTTCTAACTACAACGTATAATCAATTTGAGCTTTATTGCTATTATATAAAGTTCCTATTAAACTACAAGCACTCATTGTATACTCCTCCTAAACGATTATTCGAATTTTGATAAATCTTTCTGAAGTTTGTTAAGGTTTTTCTAGGATGTATGTGATTATAAAGTACTGGGATGTATGTGCAATATTGTAAAAATAAATGGAAAAAAATGCCAAAAAACGACATGTCATTGTTTGCATTGAAAATAAATGAAAACTATCATCTGCTAAAAATTTCAATTTACTTATGAACCCAGACAATATTAGAATATGTATAATAAATTTATGATTATGAATAAGAAAAATGAAATGTCTACATTATTATGAGATGTGCCAGAAATTAAAATAACATAAGATACAGTATATATAGTAGATAGAATGATACACATATGAACAGGATATGGCAAATTAATTCACTTAAAATTTGAAATTAAGTATTAATCGGGGCCGGTCCTACCTTTAATGCGATGCCTGCGAAAAATACGAGCGCACGACTTAGGGAGTGCCAACACAAGATTCGGATATTAAATATTCAATTTAGTTTTTTTTTCAATATATAATTTTTTTGCATCTTTTACTAATCTTTCCACAATATTTTTAAAATTCGTTAAAATTTCACTTTATAACAACAAATGGAAAAGTAAAGATGAAGACATACAATTTGGCCCTTACGATATCAATTAGGAGAAATTTAAGATACAATTTTGGATATCATAAATAATAAAAAATTAAATTAATTTAATCCAAGATGAAGTATCAGTGTTATGTTATGGGTATGGTTATGTTATAACGTTTAAAAGACTTCAATTTCCAATATAGTGTGGGAATTGAGACTCATCATTTTATTTAAAGCAGTTCTACATTTAACATTATCGCTCATATTATAAACGTATTTACACATTGGCGTGAAGAGTAATTTAAAAAACAATAATTATTATTTTTAGGTAAACGATAAAATTTCAAATATTAGTATATTATATTAAAAAATTGTAGACATGGACAACGTCTGTCGGGTCATTTAGTATTAATCTACATATATATATAAATAAGTCGGGTTTTCTTTCCTGACGATATAACTCCAGAACACACGAACCGATTTCGACAATTTTGCATTTGTTGGAAAGGTCTCGAGCTCTGCAATTTTATAGCTAAGTTTATAGCTAAGAAAAATAGTGGTGCATGGCATCGTGCTTTGATGCAAATTGCTGGAACTTCACGCACCGTAATTGAAAATTCGAGTAATGAAAATAATCAATAATTGTTTTAAATAATTTCAAATAGATTATCTATATATATCTACATATACATGAAAATAAGTCGGGTTTTCTTTCCTGACGATATAACTCCATTAGTGAGAATTATCAGAATTATGCTTGGTTAAGTCAACGAGCAATTCTTGCCGTAAAGAATAATGATGTACACGCACTGAATTTCATCATTCAATCAAAAATTACTGGCGATTTGGTGATATACCAATGATTCCGACTGTTCTTCCGTTTTATTTCAAACGATTGCAATTTCCAGTTCGCCTTGCGTTTGCAATAACAAGTCGCAAGGCCAATTGCTTAGTGTTTGCGGAATAAATTTCAAATAGATTATATAGAAAATCATTGTTTTTCACATGGGTAGTTATACGTTGCCTGTTCACGAGTTGGAAAACCATCTGCTTTATTTATGTTAACGTCAGAACAAAAAAGAAATGTGGTTTATC